GAGAGAGAGCAGAGAGAGAGGGAGAGGAGAGAGAGAGAGAGAGGGAGAGGGAGGAGAGAGAGAGAGAAGAGAGAGGAGGAGGGAGAGAGAGAGAGAGGAGAGAGAGAGAGAGAGAGAGAGGGAGAGAAGAGAGGAGAGAGAGGAGAGAGAGAGAGGAGAGAGAGAGAAGGGAGGAGAGAGAGAGAGAGAGAGAGAGAGTGGGGGGGAGGGGGCTTTATTCCTACATGCAATTAATCAGACATTTAGATATAATTAGGAAAGTATTCAGCTAATTTCCAAAGAAAATAGATAACAGGAATTGCCGGTAGGACTCTCCTTCACGATTATCAATTCAAATTATTGATCGTCATGGCAGGGTTGGTTCCGTATTAACGCAGTCTGCGCTGGAATATTGATCCGTTCTTCTCTCGTTCTCTGTAAAAGCAGGATTGCCAACATCATATATCCGATAATATCCTAAAAATATCTTTTAGAATATATGACAAAGCCAAAAATGATAGGAAGTATTTAAGCCTACTAGATGCAGTAATTACAGAGAAGGAATTTCAGTAATTATGAGAAAAAAGCAAACTAGGAGATCGATCGCGGCCGCGCGGGTTGGCGTCCCCGGCATCACGCCCGGCCGCCGCCAAAGCCGCATTCACCCCGTCACCAGCGCAGAGATGAGAGGCAGAGGTAAGAAGGCAGAACCTAGAAGTGAGTTGTTGGGAAAGTATTTCATTTTTCTGTTTTTAATGTTCTTTATAAGTCAGATATTGCTTTACAGGGTCATATTCTACGGTTTTTAAAAGCATATGTGTGTGTTTAAAGTGTATTTTCCACGATTTTCCCCAATGCGTGGTGGCCGGCTGCCGAGGCTTCCCTTCCGCTCCGCCATTACCGCGTGGCTTTTGCCGACGCCCGAAGCTTTGCTTGTCTGGCGGCACGTGGGCGATTTTGGGCACTTAGCTCTGTTTCAAGGGGCTGCATTACTGCCTTTAATTGGTATATAAGTTTTTCTGGGGTTTTAAATACGATTATGTTGAACTGTGAGCTCTTTTTCCACAAGATTGCACATTTAATCAATAATAGCACGAGTGATTGTAGAAATTGCTGGTTTGAAGTAGATCATATTAACTTTATAAGTCAAACTTGGTCTTCACTTAAAGGTAAATCAATAAGAAAAAAATGGATGGCTTATTTTACGAATCGTAGTGTTTTAGACAAGGGATAATGGTCGCCGGCCGCCATTTTTCGTCGCAAGGATAACCTGTAAATGGCGGCTAACCGTCCTAGGGGGGAACCGTTACTAGGGAGAGTTTCAGGCAAGTCTAGAATCTTCCTGTGGTTGATGAAGCAAAGATATAATATTGGCCTTAGTCGATTGGGAAGAACTGGCCTGCATTCGTTACTTCCAACAGAGAACCCATAAACTTTGACTGCCATCCGTGACTAATCTTAGTGGTATTGATGGATGCCCTTCACTCTGCTACCCAAATTCAGAAATTTTGTCATGGTGCTCCACCCTCCTGCACACAACTTGACCCCAATAGCTGGGGAGGGCATGGAAGGTACCAGGGAAATTGTGCAATAAGATAGGAATGTATACAGAATTCACCTTTGTCTAATGCAGGGGCTGTGCACCTAGCAACCCCCTCGCGGAGGATGCTGCCTCTTGCAACCCACCAGTGGATCATAAAGAATCCTTTGTGTATTCACGATAGGAGAGAATAAGACTAGCATGCGGTTACGCTGGATGGCTAGTGTGTGTGCTCTTTTCTCTTGTACAACAAGGTAAATGATTGTGTACAAATAGTTTGCCCTGCAATTTCCCACGTACCATTCATACTCTCCTGCTATCGGAGGCAAAATTGTAGGGTTTGGGGCTTTCTGAACAATGAATTCTAATATATTTGGATAACGGTAAGAGGAATCCTTTGATACCAAAATTGTTGTGATCTGTTTGGCATAACTATTCTAGAAAATTACCAGCCATTAATACCAATTTCTTAACCCATCAGCAACGGTTAAAATTTTGGCAAGTTTACGTATGCACGGGTTTGTTGGCGTGCACCGGCAATTTCCCCTGTTTGCGCCCGGCTAGATTGGTAGTTTGCGAGCGACGTATAGCACCTAAAAGCTTTTATTTTGCTAAAATTTATAAAAATATTAATTTTGAAGGTTTACCTTCACTTTAGTTGCCATTGCCTAAAATCTTTACTATATAAATGAAGCCGCTATTACTGGAGAAAAACAGCCTCCGTCCGACGAGCCTGTAACGCGGGAATAGGCATATGATGCCCCCGGCGTTTGGTCCACAACAGCCATGGCATGTACATACGTGACACCTGGCGCCAATGGGTTAATGATTGGTAATGGGGAAAATATTGGTATTTGATGAGATTAATGCACTCCAGTTTTTTTTTTTTTTTTATATATTTCATCTACAGAATGGTTTATTCGCACTTAAATAATTGGTAAAATGCAAACCTAAAAATGAAACCTTAGCCTTCCTACATTTTATTTCCTAGAAGGGTGGGTGGCTACTGTACGCCCATTTTTATTAGTATTTCAGGCTAACTTACATAGAATTAACAACTTCAGCTATGTGTGGGTAATGCAAAAAAATCACTGAGCAATATGAAGCTGATGTTTATTTCATGGTAAATATGAGGCTGCAGCAGCTGTACAGTGTAGGATTTCAGGTGTGTAAGAATTGTTAACATCTGAAGCATTACCCAGGGTCAAAGTGATAGTTAACCCATTAATGCTGGTATGTTTTGAAACCAAAAACAAAAGGTTGGGTGGCTACAAAGTCTGCGGGCAGAGCTTTCCGGGAGTCTGTCCCGCTGCTGCGTTGGAGCGCAAGCCCCAATACAGCATCACACTGGCGGGACGCCTGGCAATGTTTGTTTTTTCGGGTGTCTCATGTGGGACACCGTCGTGAATGGGTTAAATTTGATATATAGATGTACACCAATGTATTACATGTTGTACAACTTCAGCAACTTGCAAAGGATATACCATCAATGAAAAATTTATTGTCATTTCTCATTACAGGCAAACTATCTTGTACTATATGGCTTTGGGAAAGAAAATAATAAAATCCTGGTTATCATACTAAAAATTAATCAATAAATCCATGAATGGTTAATCTTTATGGTCTGGGTGCACTAAACTAAGATAAATTAAAGGTGACATTTCTGTAGAAGAGAAATGCTGTTCTCTGTAACTACAGAGAGGATTACGGGAAGTGATGTTCCTCTTGATACTCACGAGTTTTAGATGTATCCTACTGCCTCTAACAAGGTTTAGGCAACATTTGCTGGTAGGGATATTGGGTGCTGACCCCCCCTCCCCCTCCTCTATCAACCATCCCTGTAGGAGTGTCAGTGCCTATTAAGTAAATAAGATTTGATAATTGTTTTTAAATCCATTGTTTATGGCAGATGTTTAGCATTCTTGATTTGATAGCACTATTAGCATGGGAAGACATTAAATTCATTGGAAATTGCAGGTGAAACAAGCCAAACAAATATGTAAAAAAAAAAAAAAAAAGTAAACCTCGGAAAATACCTTGTAACCTAATAATCATTAAATGAACATGTCATCAGTTTTAGGAGACTAGATTTTGCTAAAGTACTGAAATACAAACCACCATAACTTGACTTAACTTGTTGGATCAGGTTGCTTNTCTTCCAACATCTTTTTAAATGCAACAGGAAGGATTTGTTTACAACTCTCATTTGTAAATGATTATTGGCTTTTGACATTTTCAGGTTTGATTATTGTTTGATTATTAAAATAACCTATCTATATTTCTCAAGGACACCTTAACAATGACATTCCTCTTTTTGCAGGCCGTGGTCGTAGCAATTGGCGTTCAGGGGCAGCAAACACACCCCAAAACGAAGTTCCTCCACCAGAAACTTTTTCAACAGAGAATTCGGATACTTCAGCCATGGATTTCTACTCCCAAGGACTTCCAGAACCTTCTATGGATGTAAATGTAATTTTTTTTTTATAATAATAATTATTTATATTTATTATTTATATTTATTTGTTATATTATACATTTGTTTATTATTTACTTGTATTGATTTAATTATATTTATTTAATTATGATTATTTGTTTTGTTTAAGAAGGTGAATGCAGTAGTTATAGGTCATTAAAGAAATTAAATTTTCATTAGTATTTAGATTATTTTTTTTAGTATATTCATAAGTAAATTGGAAATTCAAGGTAACCACTTCAAGAGCAAGTGCATGAATAAGGAACCCATGTGCCAGTTTTGTTATATTTTTCATCTAATATTTTTTACTCAAACTCTCTGCAACATTAGGAGTGCAGTATGCAACTGATCTGTCTTGGATGTATTTGCTTAAGTGTTAGTTTCCATATCAAATTATAGACTTAATTAGTATATAGTTCAACATTCCGAAGATGGATCTAAAAGTGTAAGACTTTTGTTTCCTTGGATGTAAGGTTTGCACAATTGAACAAGTACTTTTGAAATTTTCCAGGTACCAGGGTCAGATAGTGATGCATCAATGCAGGAAGGTGATGTTCAGGAAACCCCCTCCAGGAAGCGACCTTGGGAGAGGGCAGGTAGGGATAATTGTCTTACATATTGTCTCAATAAAATTGGGTCAATTGTTATAATTGGGTTGGTTAGATTTAAGTTTATTTATTTTTTTTAGTAGGAAAACTCAAACCAGTGATGGGATTTTTTAAGTAATTGAATTGTTTTAAATTACATTTGTCCTATAGGTGTTATTTATATTATGTGATTACACTATGGATACTAGGTATATAAAATTGCTGATTAGATAATTTCTTCAGGAAGAATGGAGTGAATGGGTGTGAATAGGAACAAATCTTATGAAAAACTTTTTGAAGTCAGTTGCTCTAAATCTGAGTTTTTTGACATGTCAGATACATTACATGTAACTTATTTAGCTTCTGTATTGAACATTAGTTAAAATCCTGTAATCAAAAGGGATATAGAATCATTGCAAGCAAATTATTGATATCCATTTGATAATTTCCGTGAATGCAGTAAACATACCAGTTGACATTTTTAGACTTTCACATATGTAAGATTACATACGTTATATTGGCTTTAGTTGTGAATAACATTCATATTTTCATTGAATGGACCATCATTACCTCTTGATGTATCCCCCCCCCCAAAAAAAAATGCAGAACAAATCACCTATTCATTAAGTAGGCAGCTTTTAAAAAGTCAGTTTTTGGTTTTACAGTACCATTTCCTCTTTTTAGGTTCATACTCACATTCCACTTGGAAGTTTGAAAGAAACATTGATCACTGTTTAGAGGTGAAATTTATAATTAGCAGTCCTAAAGATGTAGACCCTAAAGCCATTTTCAAGAAAATGGTGCAAAGTGAGGAATAATGTTATTAGATGATGGGTGCAAGAATGAGAAGGAAATGAGTGTTGTGGTAAGTGAGGCATGGGGATTTGAAGGTATGTAAAGATAGTTTTGACAAAGCTGGCAAGTGCTGCAGAGTGAGTTTATGCAGAGGAGATTTTCTTACATAAAAGGTTGGACAAATCTACATTGGCTGTTCTTTTATGATTGTATCTAATATATGGGAGGATGTAGGATGTTAAATTAGCTGTTTGCAAATAGCTCCAAAAGTGCATATTTATCTAATTCAAATAGGTCTCTCAGACCAAACCAATTTGCTTGGTTCCTTGATTTTGGAAATGAAAGTTATTTTGAAAGCTTGTGTGATATTACAATGCAAGTTTTGGAAATGAAACCTTTTTCTAAAGATTTAGTTTGGCCTTGTAATACATGGTGACTAAATGCTTGTGAAGCTGTCAAAAATGAATTATGGAGGAGTGTGCTTGTACTCTGAGCCAATAGATTACAGTAATTTAGGTTTTTAACTTAATTTCAGTGCTATTGGTAGTGGATTTTCTCAGTTGATTAGTTAGTGGAAAATGCTATTATATTTTCTCAATGGTGTTTACTACAACATCGAAGTTCATTTACGATAGGTTTTATTCTCAAATATGGACCACTTGGTTAAAATCATGTAACATGCTCTGTTAATCAAAACTTCTTATGAAGCTGTTGTGATTAGTAATTATCTTAATGTGTTCTTATTTTTAGGGACTAGTAATTTTGTACACTCTGTACTACACAAGTACCGATATTTGAGGGTGGTTTGGGGGTTATACGACTTTGTTAAACCATAATGAAGTAAGGCCAAAAACATGATGTAGGTTAAAGGGTTAATTTGTTTAATAAAGTTTTTTTGTCAGCTTGCATGGAAAATGGAAGTCAGATCCATGATGGTCATTGTTAATAAATTTTATTTGATTTTCTCGATGGGGAAGCCCTTGTACATTACAGCATTCCCTTTCTTCTCATGCTTCTTTGCTTTTCTCTTTTTCCCTTATTAATGCATTCTCTTTTCAATTCTTTCGTCTTGTACTGTCTCCCAGCCTCTTGCTCTGTTCTATGCATTTATGCATTTGTATTGCCTATGTCATTTGCATAGCTGTAGGAAAGACATAGGGATATTTGCTACTTAATATTTCACAAGGAAGGTGACATGGGGATGCAAGCATGTAAAGGCTAGTATATAGGAGTATCTATTGAAAGTTGATGCTTTGTGAGGGTGTAATATATTTCCTATTTATATATATATATATAAAGGACAAATTACATGAATAA